TTTTATTTAATTTCTATTGATAATACTAATTGTTCCTTGTCCAAACCTTTGTTACTTTAATTGTTGATGCTAGCTACTAGTGTGAACTCGAGGGTTTCCCGATTCCACTAGTTTGCTAGTTCCTTTTGGATTTTAATTATTCTGTTTTATTTTTAATTTTTCATGAGGTTTTTCCTCACAGCCCAATTGGGGCTGATAGTATTGTTCCGGCCAATTGGGCCGACTGTCGCATAGACAGTATCTTTTTTGAAATGTCGTTACAGTTTGTCATGATATTTTAATCTAAACTAAAACAACACAAAATAAAACAAGAAATTAGGGTATATCAAATAAAATCAGTTCCTAGTACTCGTACTTCCTCATTTCTCACTTTATTCCTTGTTACTGAGACACGGCTTTCTTAGCTGGAGGTTCATCTTGTTCATCTTCCATTTCGAGTGAACGTTTTTTCAGCATTGAAGATGACTGAGCCTATAACACAAAATAATAAACTCATAAGAGATTATAATGTTCAAAAGTATATAGCTCTCTTACCTCTTCCTCATTATTAGTATTCGATGAGTCAGTCTCATTCTCATTCTCCTTATTTACCTCCAGTATAACATATTCCTCTTGATTGCTCAACGGCAGATTGACATCAGGAAGTGACAAGCTCCCTCTTTTTATTTCGCCGACCTAAAACAAAACAATTAACATCTTTTTATATTACCTCAGATATTTCAAATTAAATAATACTCGTTTATATAAATATTTATATTATATATATGCGTATATTTGAATTGTTACTTTCCATGTATAATACAACTTAGAACAAAATTAAATAACAAGTAATACAAATAAATAAGTGAATACAAGTATAAATTATTAATAAATTAATAATACATAAATTAATAGGAAATAATAAGTAAAACTCACCTTCACAGAATTTTTCTCCTTTTCAGTCAGCAATTCCTCTAGAGGCAAGCCTGACCAACCCTCCAGATCTAGATTCAAAACGATGGCTGCGATTGCAGGCTTCATGGGCTAAATAAAGGTTA